AGTTTCCTCATCATCTTATCCATTTTAACCATAAAAAGTAATTTCTTTATCCTTTCCCCAATTTCAGGGACTCTGTCCTGTTTCCAACATTGGGCATATGTCATTCTGGCAGTTGTAATTATATACCACATCAATGTCCTTTTCGCCATATTGACTTCTTCCATTTTAAGTCCCAAAAATAATATTTCCGGTTCTTTCTTGAACTTACATTTCACAATTTTCTCCATTTCCGCATGTACTTCAGCCCCAAAAGTCTTTGCTTTATCGCACGTCCAACACATATGGTAAAACGAGCCCTCTATTTTTTTACATTTCCAACATTTGCTTGACATATTACAATTTATATTTGCAATCTTTTTTGGTGTCATATACCATCTATACATCATCTTATAGCAATTCTCTTTTAAATTATTACACGTTGATATTTTCATTGCATTTTTCCATTAAAATTCCCAAGACATCTATTTCTTTGTTCATATTAACCACCCATTTTATCATTTGTTCCTTAACTGTTTCATCTTCTGTATACCATTGTATACCATCTTCTGTATACCATCTTATACATTTTAGATATCAACTTTTTACCTCCCTCAAACCATACATTTTCAATCTCATTATATTTTTTTCTGAACCCAAAACCTTTTTTTATCAGTTTTAACAAATCATGAATCTGTCTATATTGTAACCAATCATATTTAAAGTCCAAATCTTCAATATCTTATACATTTTAGATATCAACTTTTTACCTCCCTCAAACCATATATTTTCAATCTCATTATATTTTTTCCTGAACCCAAAAATATTTTTATCAGTTTTAAACAAATCATGAATCTGTCTATATTGTAACCAATCATATTTAAAGTCCAAATCTTCAACCATTTTCATTCAAATGTCTTTCCTACAGGTTTTAAAATGTCTCTATATTGTAACCAATCCTCTCCTCTATGTATCAAAAATGGTTTTATAACCTCCGCCGGTACAATCCAAAGTGGTCTCTCATCTAAAAAAAAACCTTCTATACTTAGTCCATGTATCAAATAATGCTCTTCGGATATAATGATGCTTAAAGAAACTATCCATTTTTGTTTTCCCATACCATAAATAGGCATGCCAACCAAATTTACAATCATGTTCTTCTAATGCCAACAGTTTTCTATTGTCCAATGTAATCCATTGTTGCAACCAAGTTAAACAGACCGCCTCATGATACAATCTAAAATTTGGTAATTGAAATCCACCACTTTCTTTAGCATCACATAAAATCTTCATCTTGATCCTAGGTTTTTTCCCCGCCCACACAAACTTTGAAACCTCTTTCTGCCAAGAATTAAATATCTTTACGTCTCTCACTATTGGGATTGTCTGAAATAAAAACATCAAATGTGGTAAAATATTCATTTTAACCACCGAAATTCTCCCCAAAAGTGACAAATTTAATGTATTCCATTTCTTTATATCTTGCTGTATTTTGGGCCAAAGTTTGTCATAGTTATTCTTAAAAAGGTCTATGTTTTTCATTGTCAAATCAATACCTAAATATTTAGTCTTTTTGACAACTTCACATTGTGTCAATCTCTGTAGCTCCTCTTGTTTCTCACCAGTCATGTTTTTGCACATCACCTTGGATTTATTTTTATTTACGTAAAAACCTGCTAAATCTCCAAACTCTTTTATTTTCTCCATAAGCAATGGTAAATTCCGTAAAGGGTCTTCCATCATAAACATTACGCCGTCCGCAAAAGCTCTATATTTATAGGTGAATCCTTTGTTGGTTAAACCCTTAATTTCTTTATCTTCCTTAATTTGTCTCAACAGTACTTCTAATATCCATATAAATAATAACGGGGATAGAGGACCACTTTGCCTCGTCCCCTTTTGTACTTTAAAGTACTCCGTCATCTCCGTATTGATTACTAATGCTGCTTTTTGTTCCAAATAAATGGCTTCTATTGTATTTCTAAATTGTTCTCCATCAATCTTTTCCATCACTCCATACATAAAATCCCAATTTAAATTGTCAAAAGCTTTTTCCGCATCTACAAAGAAAAATCCAACCTCTTTCTCTGGGTGTTTATCATAATATTCAATTGCATCAATCACCACTCTTATATTGTCCTTTATCTGTCTATTTGGTTAAAAACCTGCTTGCTCCTCGTCAATAGCATCTTTTAAATATATCTTTAGCCTCTCCGAAATAATTTTTGCAAAAAGTTTGTAATCATTGTTCAAAAGGGAAATTGGTCTATAATTTTTCACATCAGTTAAATCTTGTGCTTCTTTGGGGATATGCGAAATTGTAGCTTCTTTCCACGATTCTGGTAATTTCTTTGTTTTTCTTATTTTATTTACCAAGAGTTCAAAAGTCGGGACTAGCTCCTCTTTAAATTTCTTATAAAAATTGGCAGTGAAACCATCTGGTTCTGGAGCTTTCCCTAATTTTGTCTCCTGAATTGCTTTATATATCTCTTCTTTCATTATTGGATTTTTTAACATTATCTTAATGTCATCTGCAATTTTTGGCATCTTCATTTTGTCCAAATAAGTCATTATTTTGTCTTTATCTGTTGATTTCTTTTGAAAAAGATTGGCATAATATTTAAAAATGCTCCCTTAATTGGCTGGAGGGACTCTGAGCCCCCGCCCACCAAGAAACCCCCTTTGGGCCCATGCCCTTTCTGTAACTCAGAATAAAAAGGTTCAAGGCAGTTTTTCAAATTAGCTCTTTTGAAGACATATGTTAAGTTTGTATTTCCGGTATGCCTGTGATTTGTATAATGTTTTATATTATTATTTTAACTATTGTTTTTTCTGTAAGTCACCCTGAGCCTGCCTCAGAGGGGAGGGCGGGGTAAAAACCAAAGTAATTAATTAATTAATTTAGTATCCCACTCACCACACCAATCTACCATAGTGTTTTTAAAAAGGAATAAAGAATTTGTATTTAGCTTTCCACATTTTATTTGCTTATTTGAAATATTTATATATTACTGTAATGGCAGTCAAAAAAAACAATGAATTAAATACAGAATGGCAAATAAAACAACTAGCATATATCCTGCTATAGGCTGGAGGAAGTTCCCCCACCTTAAAGGAGTCTTCCTCTCCCATCTAAATGATTTTTCCGTTGGAGGAAGAGCCACAAAAGTCAGAGAAAGGATCATTAGGCTGGAGGAAGGCTCCAAACTTTGGTAGTGGAGTGGCAGGATACAGGCCACTGAATGATGGACTGGGAAAATAATTTTAAAATATTATGGCAGAGGTGATGAATGTTTTTGGTTCCAGGGCCCCCTAGAGAAATCATTCACTGGGCTGGGCCAGCGTCTACCCATTCTTTTCTGCTACTGGATAAGCATGAACAAGTCCTAGCAGTGGGGAAGGTGGGCACCAATTGCTCCTCCTCCCCACTGCAAAAGCCTGCTAGGACTAGTGCAGCAGAGGGTGAAAAAGAGGCTCCACACAAAGGGAAGCTGAATGCTGCAGGTCAAGCTGGGGTGGTACTGGAGAGGGCTGTCAGCAGTAGAGACACCCCAGGAGGGAGGCAGAAACAAGGTTGGGGGTCTCTGGGTGTTGGGGAGCTTGGGGGCTGGATGAGAGAGGGTCCAGGGACCACTGGTATCCTCCGTGCTGTAGTTTGGATGCTTCTATTTGATGAAATCTCTGAAGAGATTGAGTTTTATGGACCTCTTCTGGGAGGTGTTTCCAAAAAGTGGGGATCATAACTTGGTGGCATCTTTGGCCTTACTCACGTATGACCTTTGGAGCCAAAGGTATCATGATGAATACTACTGGCTGCCCTAATAGCAGATTTCATTGCTGTATCAATCCAGCCATGGGGATGGGCCGTGTGTTCTCCTGCAAAGTAAATCCTCCCTTCATTCTTAGACAAAATATTGAAAAAGTGGCTATACTGGTAGGGGGTGGGGTAAGCAAATGCCCCCATTGAAAACTTGTCTAGACCCCATCTCTGTATCACATGCTTAGTGCAAACAGATTTGAGATATTCTTTGGACACATTGTGGACTTCTGCTAGGTCATCCATGACCACATCAATGCACTGCTCTTCACTGAGGGCATGGAAAAAGTCAGCGTCATCATGCAAGGTATAAGAAGCCAAGATGACTCCTAGCTTACTGTAGAAGTTACTGTTTGGGTAGTAGATATTTCGGGATGGGAGATCTGTAACTGAGTGGCCACCTCGAATCCCATGCTTCTCCCAAAATTTCTCAGTGCAAGCCAAAGCAATTTTAGTGCTGCTCGTATAATGAAAGGAACGCAGAGCATGACCTTTCGTAGGGGAAAGAGGAGGACGGAATTTGATGAGCCGTGTGGCTTTTGCTGTGGCTGTGATGAGGACGTAGTCGGCAGGCAGACCCAACAGGATGGATTTGCCTGGCTGGCGAAACCGCACCGTTACTCCCGTGCCATTTTCGACAATTTTCTCTACTGTGGAGTTAAAATGAATTATCCTAGGCATTTCTTTGAAGAAGCTCCTGGGAAGCTGGTCAAATCCGCCTGTGATTTCATCCCACCTGAAGAAACCAGGATGGTGAAATGCAAAAAAATTGCAAAGAAAATGCAAAAACAGTGAACAAATCACCAACAGGATAATACTCATTAGAGCAATGGAAGCAAAACGTGTTACCCAACTTGTATATTTCATAAACCATTTCAAGAACCAAACAAAGAATTTCTGATGATGTGAGGATATAGCACAGTAACCCCTCGCCTGTCAAATTTTACTTCAGTAACATCCCTCACTAACCTTATACATTCCTTCAGGGATTTTCTATCAGAGTCTATCAAGTCTAGCCTGGTCATATTTCAGTCCTTTTTTCTCACACACACCCCACCAAAGTCTACCACCAAAATGCCCTCTCCATTTTACTGGCTCCCAATCTCCTTCCTCATTCAGCAAAAACTTGTCCTGACATGCAAACCTTTCAGTGGCCCTGCTCCACTTTTTCTTCCTTCCTTTAATCAAAGGACATGTCCCTGTATTGGGCCTTTGCAATGCTATGTCCCTAAACAGTGCCATCCTTTCTACATTGCTACCCCTTGAGCTTAGAATTCATGACCAGAACAGTTAAGTGATGCCAGGCAGCATGAATCCCTCTCTTTTTGCATATCCCACATTTCCCATAAAGTCCCATAAAGTAGCTTTAAACTCCTTAGACCTCATACCAGCTGAAATGAAATTTTAAGTGCATCTGTACTTCCGCACGCTTATCCCCTGCTACCCTGCTGTCTCCCTTCCCTTCCTTCCATCCTACTGTCTATAATTCAAAGTCTTTAGGGATGGACTTCTGTTCCTTAACTATGAATTGGAGCCAATGGATAGGGATGGGCACGAACTGGGAATAAGTGATCCATTCATGGTTCGTGGTGTGCCCAGTTCACAAACCACGAACTGTCACAAACTTTTAAGAGCTAAATGGTTTGTGATGTTTGTAATGCAGTAGAAGGGCACCCCCCTGATGCACTAGAGACACCAAACATGCTGGGGATCTCCGGCTGACTCTTCTCTACCTGCCCTACAAGTTTGGTGAGGATTGGGTTTACAGGGTCCGAGTTATGGCCCCTCAAATAAAGTGAGCCCAGGAAAGTGGTTTCTGGGGAAATGACAGGTGCAGGTGTGTACAGAATGGGCCCTGTGCAAGCTAGAGACATCAAACTCACAGGGAACCTCCCTCTGATGCTCCTCTACGCGCCTGCCAAGCCATGTGCAAAATGGACTTAGGAAGTCTGAGTTATGCCCCCCAAAGAAGATGCCCCCAGGAAAATGCTTTAGAGGAAAATGTCAGGCACAAGTTCAAAAGTGCAAGCTACACACACCAAATGCACAGGGAACTTGTTGCTTTGAAGTTTGGTAAACATTTTGAGCAGAGTCCATCTGTCTGAAAACATGACCATTCACAAACCAAAGGAATGGAGAAAAAGCAAAAAAAGATGGGTAGAGACCTCTGTGAGAGCCCAAAAAGTATACTGAGTCAGTGTAATTTTTTCTGCTGTTAATAAGTCCACTTAGATGTTATATTGTATTTGAAGATGTTTTGACTTTTGTCATTTATAGACAATTTACAACAACTGTTCAAGGCCATTCTGCAGCGGGGCTGTAACAGAAACAATTTTAAAGATATTGAAATGGTGTCTTAAGTAGCCATCAGACCATGAATTACCATAATTTTCTAATTCTCATAACTCACTGTATTATATATTGAATTTTTTAACATTTGAATGGTCATACCTCACTGTATTATGTACTGTATATAGGGACTATTTTTACTAATCAAGCTGTAATTTTTGCAGTGTACATATTAATATTTGGTTTGCACATAATCTAGTACATCAGCCTTTCCTTCTGTGTGGCCTCTAGTACTCAGTACCCTTTTTGGTTCCATTCATTAACCACCACAAACCACTATGAACAGCTTAAAAGTTTGTGGAAAGTTTGTGCCAGTTGACCTGATATTAACTTCAGTGTGTGAACCACGAACCACCCAAAATTCATCACGATCTTTAGTTTGTGAGCTGGTTCGTGCCCATCCATACCAATGGAGCATTTCTATGGATGGGACCATTTCTGATCACAGATCATGCCTTTCTCCTCTTTGCTCTTCTGCTGCAGACAAAATGCCCTTCAAATGTTGTTCTGTGAGTACCCTGTCCCACAGAATTAGCATTAGGAGGGCATTTTGGGATGCAGTGGGAAGGGGAGGTAAGAAAGTCATCCTCTGCAGGTGGCAATCATTCCATCTGTGGAAATATTAATGGGATCCAACTCTATGTGACTCAACATAACACCATATACATTGGTGTGACTGTATTAGGGCCAGGTTTTGCTTTTTACCAAAAGCAGTTAGAAAACGTGACCAAAGGCTGGTGAATGGGTGGATGGATTCCATTTCAGTGTTCACTAGTGTGGCATGTTTCACACATGGCATGTTTCACATATGGTGACTGCAGTCCCTAGAGGTGATTTGCATGTGCATAGGCCAGTCATAATGCCATACCTCCTCTTTAAAAAAAGATGCTTTTCACTGGCCAGCTGCAAATCATCAAGCGGTAAGTAATCAAGTGTCAAATGAGTAACACACATTCATGTGTGAACCAGACTTAGGTGATTTTATTTTGTATCATTCTGATCTAATTTACATCACCCCATGACTGTGAGAATTGAATGAGCTGTGTTAACTCATTTATTCACAACCAAACTCACAGAGGTCTTTAACAAGACCTGCCAAAATAACCATGTCAGATCAAAAGTTTATCTTGCCCAACGTTCTGTTGGAAACAGCCATGGTGTTCCCCAGATCATGAAAGTTATATGGCCTCTAGTTGGGGATACATTATCTCTGGCAATTCACCTCTGCTACCCATGTCCACCTTGACTGGAATAGCCCTGGCTACCCTGATCTCATCAGATCTTACATGGGAAACCACTAAGGAAGTCCAAGGTTGCTGCGCAGAGGCAGGCAATGGCAAATCACCTCTGTTTGTCTCTTCCCTTGAAAATCCTACAGGGTTACCATAAATCACCTATGACCTGATGGCACTTTCAACCACCACCCATTGTTAGCTAATAAATTGGCCTCTGGCTTTCTAAGAGAGGAGCTAGTCAGCTCAGGAGCTGATAAAACCCTTCCACTTAATAAACATATATATCAAGATAATACAAAAATTTTTCTTTCCTACCTAGTTTCATTTGAAAAGCTAACAAAGAGGAGGCTCAGAAATGATGTATAGAAGCCAGCATCTTGATTCAAGAAATCACCAATCATATCCACGGCTCCTCTGCTCAGGTTTCCTTCTTTCATCAGGTATTCCTAGTAGAGGGAAATGAGGTTGGGTGTGTTACAAGTACCATTACTTCCATGTTCAGTTTGAAATTCCAATTGATTTGCTGCCGCCGCCACCCTTCATTTCCCCCCTCTTACCTCAAAACAAGCCCTGTACTTTTCAAAATGAAGATCTGGAAACTGAAAATTCTGCTTGTAGCTAGACTGTGGCTGCCAGGGTCAGCCGCAGGTATATGGTCCCTTTGTAGCCATATCTCTTCACCCACAATTATGGCTCCATTATCCCCACCAGCACCTCCACATTGTGACAACTTTTGCCAATGGTTCCTGGTTGTGATTCAGTTTAAAATTCATAATAACTATGACAATAACAATGTTATTGACCCAGATACAGCTGCCACCACCACCCCTTTTTGAAAAAAATGAATCTGATCAAGTAGGCTTGAAGACCTACTTTTAAGTCTCATTTAACTGTTCTAACAATAGCCAGTGTCCTTCTGATGATCACAGACTATTCCATAGTAAAATACTCACATCGGGAGGGGGGTCCTAATCATCCCAAAGTCCCATGGAACTGGGCAAATCATGTGATTTAATTTCACATAATAATGAGGCTGTGTCTTGTGGGTGTGTGTGTAAGGGGTGCCCAGATGAGTAAAAACACAAGAAGAGCCCAATTGAATCAGACCAGTGGTCCATCTAGTCCAGGATCCTGTCTCACACTGCGGCTAAACAGTTCCATTGGAGGGCCAACAATCAAGCACGGAGGCCGAGGGCTTCCCCTGATGTTGCCTCTTGGCAACTGCCTCTGAATGTGGAGATCCCCTTTAGTCACTATGACTAATGGCCACTGATAGACCTATCCTCCGTAGGAATATTTGTTTAGGGGCCCATGGTGGCTCTTGGAATCCCTGATCATATTCATTGTGAACCTGGGGAGGGACAGGAAGTCTTCTTGACCACAAATTTACAAGCTATTTGTACAGTTCTAATAGCTGTATGACTATTACTTCTAATTAGAATTTCATTTTATTACAATAACATATGAGATTTTGCTGCAGATTAAAAAGGGATTTGTTTAGGTTTTTCCCCTGCTGCCATTGTGATATAAGTATTGTCCTATGATGGATATGACAAAAAAGACAGTTTTTGAATCTCCTCACATGAAATGCATTTCACCAGGAAATCTAAACACTGCGGTATTTTTCCTTGGCTGATTTCGCACTAAGCTGCCTCGATGTTGCGCCGCCGTTTGCCCCGATACTATTGGTCAATTTCACACCCGAAGCTGCGGGGCTGTATTTTGACTCGCCGCTTCGCCTGATTTCCCCGACAGTTTCGTGATCCTGTTTTTTGAGGATCATGAAACTGCGGAGGAAATCGGGCGAAGCCGCGGGTCAAATGCAGCCCCACGGCTTCGGGTGTGAAACTGACCAATAGTATCGGGGCAAACGGTGGCACAACATTGAGGCAGCTCTAGTGCGAAATCAGCCCTTGTGCTTTCCTCTCCCAGTTTGTAATGCACACATACCTATCCTATCCAACTACAGCACACGGAGACCCCAGGGACATCCCAGGGTCACGGCAGCCAGTTTACTGCAGGAATTCTCTTGCCTTAAAAATCCCATGGGGCCCCAATCCTGGGCAGGACCACAGCATGGGGGAATGAGAGGCTCCTGTTGCCTCCCCATGCCATTTTTCAAAAGCCCAAATGCCCCACAACTTTCATGCTCTCTGGCTCATCATGATGGGTAGACTGAATGAGCCAAAGGAATCCGTGTGCAAAGGAGCGCCATTGACGAGTCTGAGGACTTGTATAGGATGATAAGTCTTGACCAGGACAGCCCAGGACAGTCTGATTTCATCAGTTCTTGGAAGCTAAGCAGGGTCAGCCCTGGCTAGTACTTGGATGAGAGACCACCAAGGAAGTCCAGGGTAGCTACTCAGAGGTCAGCAATGGCAAACCACCTCCGTTCGTCTCTTCCCTTCAGAACACTATGGGGTCACCAGATGTTAACTGTGACTTGATCGTACTTTGCACCACTATAGGTGTTAAGACTCAATTTATTTATTTTGAAGAAAAGCAAATGCCTAATTCTCTTACCTTGGTGGAAACTGAGTCATACTTCTCCCTCAAAAGCGCACAGTTTTTTGATAGCTGTTCCGGAATCTTTTGTATACATGACAGAAAGGCACAGAGAAACAGGAAAAAGACTTATTTCCCTTGAAAAGTTCATTCATCTTTCATAGTTAAGAGAAACAATGTCTGTCATAAATGACACATAATTCCTTATATAAACTGATGGTGGTATATAAATAATAATGATCAAGAACCAAAGAATTGTGCAATTGGTAGTCTGGGTGCTTATGTTTCTCATACAGAGCCTCAAGGCTGTTGACTGGTCAGGGGAAATTGAACACTTTTGGCAGTGCTTAAGTGTATTTATTTGATTTAGAAAACATCTAGGCTAAACCGCATTTCTATGTTTAGTGGCAGCCACTAAGGAGGCCCTGACATGGAACTCTTTCTCTATATCCACTTGATTGGCACCAACCAAGGCATCAGGGGCTGGCACTGTTGGGCAGGCGTCATGGTCTACACCTCAGCAAGACTCCACAGCGCTGGTGCTTCTCCTCTAAGCTCTTGCTGCCTGCCTGCTTGCCAACTGAGTGACTGAACAATGAGAGAAGCTTGGAGGTAGAACAGTCTTCAGTCTCCTCACCCTCTTCTTCTGAGAGGCAGTGTGAATTAGGCCCAGACAGAGAGGACAAATGAGTGGGCAGCAGCAGGGTGGTGTGGACCAATGCTCCCTCTAAGCTGTGGAGTCTTGTGAGCAAAAATTCCACTTTGTGAGCTACTGGCATTAAAGTTGTGAGTGAGCAATTTGGCTGCTGCATAAATTAGTTTGTTTTGGAGCCATCCTCCCTGAGCTAAGATGAAAATGGGTGAGCCGGAGGCTAAAAATCTGTGAGCTGGCTCACACTAATTCAGCTTAGAGGGAACACTGGTGTGGACCCAACTCAGGGAGGGGAGCCCACTGAGGGCATCTTGCCAAAGGGCTCTCCCAAACATGGAGCCCACATTGGCATCTAATCTAATGGTTTTATGGGTTAAAAAATTATTTTAGTGGCATCTGATATGCATTTAGTGGTATCTGGTACTGACTGATTAACTGAATTTTAGATTTGAGTCCAGTAACACCTTCAAGACCAACAAAATGTTCAGGGTATGAGTTTTTGACAGTCAAAGCTCCCTTAATCAAATACAAATTCATAGGATTCATATCTGGCAAAGGGAGCTTTGACGCTTGACAGCTCATACCTCACCCAGCTGGTGTGGCGTTTCGGGCTAGGGTGTCATCAGTACATTGATGACACCCAGCTATATCTGCTACTGGATGGCCAACCAGATACTGCCCCACATAAGGCCATGGTGGGATGGGTTAAAACAGAGTAGGTTGAGACTGAATCCAGTAAAGATGGAGGTTCTGTTGTGGGAGGGGAGCCTCGGGGTTGGAGCACAGGCCTCCCATTCTTGATGGGGCACCATTAACACCGGCACAATCTGTCAAGAGTTTGCACATGATCTTGGATGCCTCCTTAACCATGGAGGCCCAGGTCACGAATATTGCCCAGCTGACATTTCTCCATTTACGCCAAGCATGGCAATTAGCCCCCTTAAATGGTGCACTTGACCTGAAATTCTAGGGTTAGTGTTTTATATGAACAGTTGTTATCATATGGTGTAATTGTTTTAAATGATGGGATGTGAGTTGGCAGCATATTTTGTTTGCAGATAAGAGAAATCCTGATAAAGATTGTTTCAAAATGGAAGTGAAGCGCATAACCTGTCCCAGCTACTGCTTCATTCATTTTATCTGACAGGAGAATGTTTGAAAGAGTTGAGGATTGGAATTGTTACTGCTTCATTCACTCTATTTGAAAGAAGAACTGCGTATGGGACTTGTGATAACTTTAGGGTTCTCTCCTACTGAAAAGAAGAAATGGAATGCCATGTTTTACATGTTACTTCTGAGGAGCGGAATCCCAGGTTTCAATATATGTTTATTACCAGGGGTTGTTTCGTAGAAAAAGAGCTAGGGGAACTCATTAGCATCGCTCATTAGCATATGCCACACCCCCTGACATCATAAGGCCCGGCGGTGGACCTGCAAGGCCAGCAGGAGTGCGAGGAAGCCCCGCCAAGGCCCTCTCTGGCCCCAGGCAGGCAGGGGTGGGGAGAGGCAGGGAGGAAGCAACTTACCCTCCCTCTTCTCCTGCCTCCTCCTGGCTGAATGAGGGCTGGAAGCGGGGCGGCCGGAAGCAGGGGGCGGGGCTTCGTCATGTGCCCCGCCCCCGTACCTCACCCGGGGGAACTGCGATCCCTCGCGTTCCCCCCTGAAATGACCTCTGTTTATTACTTGTTATTATCTTAGAAACTATGCTTATGTGGACTGATACATTCTAGTTATTAGTTTTGCACTGGTTCCCTACAGCCACGTATGTAGTACATTGTGTATAAGTCTGGTTGTGGCTGTGCTACTATTTTTCCACAACCAGACCATGACAATGTCATCTTCACAATGTGCATACCTTGCTCAGTGCTTTGTCCAGGAGATCTTTAGCAGATTTCCCCTCCTCATCGGGCTTCACTGGGTATCCAAAGATGCCAGGACTGGCCTTGTCTTTTGTGTGTCGTCTTATGTTCCTGATCAAATACCAGGCATTCTTATCCCACGAATCAAAAGGGCTTACGGGAAGATTGAATTTCTTCAGATATTCAGAAACTATTCTGGGGGGGGGAATAGGAAAAGATCTTCAACATACAAGGCAATAACAGGTGATGATCCATGACAGGTGCACACAGGCTGGGATGCCAGTTGACACTGCAAGTCAGTAACAAAGCCTTTGAATATCAGAAAGTATCTGAGAAGAATTAACAGTGGGTCCATTTTTTTCTGTTCACACTACCCCTGAACCAAAACACCATCAGGGAGACGGGATGAGGTAAGGCCTAAATGTAGGAGGAAAATAAATTGTCCCACTCTGATCCCCTCTACCTTCTCGTTCAAGCTTCCAAGGGGGCGTCATGGGCAGAGTTTGCATTAGAAACTGTGTCACCTCTTGGCTGCGACCACACGCATTAAAATAATCCACTTTCAATCGACTTTCAGTGCACTTTCCAGCTACATTTTCCTGTGTGAATTGGCAAAATCCAATTGGAAAGTGCATTGAAAGTGGATTGAAAGTGGATTATTTAGTGTGTGTTGTTTGACTGATTGTTAATGATCACAGTATATATTTCTAAAATGAGCTTTGGATAGGGTACAGTCCTTATGCTCAGGAGAAAGCTGAAGAATCAGTTTGGAAACGCAATGCATGGAGGATCCTTATCAGCCTCCAAGGTGCTATTTATTTACTTAATAACATAATAATAACCTGTTCCCTCTAGCTCAACAAGTAAATAAGTAGATAGTTTTAAAGTGGTCTTACAAAACAATGCTTTTGTTCATCCAAGGGAAAGAAAACCCAGTGGCCCTGCTCCTTGAATTTCTCTAGATGTAGGTGAGAATGCATGAGAGTTCTCTCTGCTGTCCAATCACATGCATAATGGACATCCTGCAGTAATCTGAATGCCAAACAGGGAGCATGCACGCACCCTGCAACCCACTATGATGCTACAAAGTTCAAGCCAGCATCCCCCCTTCCCTCCTGCTCTCAGCTTTGAATCCCATGCACAGTATGAGTCATAGCATATCTTCGTCCTTACTTGTGGCTTTCAGGCAGACGCATAGGCCCCAAGTCCACGTACCAGTCTTGCTCACGATAGGTCTTTATCCGGCCGCCCACATGGTCGCTGGCTTCCAGAATCTGAACCTAAGAACAAGTACATTTTGGTTTGCTTTACCTTCATGCTGCCACTTCCTTCAGAGCACGATGCCAGAAATATACGTAATTATGCACAACCTCAGTCTGCAGCAGATCGATCGACTTAACTACCGGTTTGCAAAGGACAGAATGCGAAGGCCGCGGACAGAGAATGTAATAGCAATATGGTGGGTAGGAGGGACAAGAATGGCATCGAACAGTAATACCAATGCACCCCTTTTTCAAGCACTTGTGTACTTCTTTTTGACAAGGTAAAAGACATAGTTATCTCAGCACCATTACCTGATGTCCAGCATCTTTTAGTAATTTGGCGGCAGTGAGTCCACTTATTCCTGCTCCAACAATCACAATGGTCTTTGGCTCTTGAGTCTCTTTCAGCCCTTTTTTGGCAATATCTAAGAGCTGTTCATAATCGGAGTCTTTTAAACACTCCATCCATTCTTCCTGTTTTGCAGCACCATTTTTAGCAGGGAAGGTGCCAGCAGGAGCCAAGGCTGCCACAAGCAGCAACAAAGCCTGCAAAAGGGCTAGAAGGGGAAAGGAAGAAACAACAGCACTGTAGCAAATATTAGCACATAGCAGTTAGGAAACTAGTAAAATGTGAAACTACTACATGATCTATATCAGGGGTCCCCTCATGTGGTGCTCAAAGGTGCCTTGGCACCTGCTGGCACCTTTCCTGATGGCTGCCAAGTGTTTTTTAGAAAGCACTTGGTAAGTTTGCCTGCCAAATACATTTGCCGCCAAAATTCTTAGCATTACTTGTTCTAATCATCATCATAACGCTTAGGTGTCTCTCAAGGGATACCAGACTGCTAAATAGTTTCTGCAAAGAAAATCAATCACTCACAGAAGAGGTCCATATCTCAATGGGCAAGTTAAGGAGGCATCCCATTTATAGGTAGACTATGCACGTGATTCAGAATTTGTCACAAATGGTTTCACAACTGGGACTTCCCAGTGAGCCCATCATGCATGCTTTTTCTTGCACATCTGTCTGCAGAAAACATGACATCTAATACAAAACTACCGTCGTGTAAACAAGCACCTCCCACTTATGTATGTCCTAATAAAAGACATTTTAATACAAGCGAAATTACTGTTTAACTTGCTCTACAGCAGCATTCTTGCAACACTGATATTTACTGATAGATTAGAAACAGTAGATTAGAGCAAAATAAAATAGACTCAGGACAGATGGTGAAAGGTTTTAAGAGTGAGCGTATAATGTATGAGATCTATTGCGATAACTTTGTTCTCTTCTTATCCACCTGCCATGCTCATCCAAAAAAGTCACAAACAATATAAGGTCACCTTAACCATCTATAAGGTAATACCACCCCCTAGTAGAGCTTTTCTGAGATTCTTCTCTGATGTAAAGAAAGGCCTGAGACCAGTGGCATACCTAGCTTATTTGGTGCCTGGGGAGGATCATTTTTAACACACACCCCTCCTCCTCTTCTTCTTTTTTCCCCATCAAGTCACAGCCAACTTATGGTGACCCTGTAGGGTTTTCAAGGCAGGAGATGTTCAGAGGTGGTTTGCCATTTCCTGCCTCTACATCAGCCCTGCTTCACGTCTGAGATCTGACGAGATCAGACTAGGCTGGGGCTGTCCAGGTCAGGGTCCCTCCTCTACACGACAAAATTGTTTTCAGTAATAATCATGAAATAAAACAAATAACAATAATGGTCAGAAAATAGATTCAGGTGAGTAGCTGTGGTGGTCTGAAGCAGCAGAACAAGGTTTGGTCTTAAAGATGCCACTGGACCCAAACTTTGTTTCAATGGCCATAAAAGAAACACAGACAGTGAAAAAAGTTATTTTATTTAACTTTGTATATATAATCATACCTGTCATGACCCCAATGGGTTGCCACCTTCCTCTGCCACTACTCTGGACCTAGGGTCCCTTGGGAAGGTCCAGAGTACCCTCCCAAGCCCAACCAATATGCCCCTTTTTCAGCGGAGAACTATAGGCGTGATTACCAGGCAGAGAACATTAAACAAATGGTTTATTAATACAGTAATGGGGAAGGAAAAACAAGACAAGGTGCTTACAATATATAACAGTTAAAGGCAAAATAAACACAAATCTAATGTGACTACCTATTTCACTTAACTGGTTAATGTTCAAGGCCCACAGCCTTTTATACCAGGCCTGTGCCTGTACTCACTCTGTCCCAAGTGAGGGATCTTTCTCTCAGACCAGACTGACCCCTCAGTTTTAGCTCTGTGAAAGACCCCTCAGTTTTAGCTCTGTGAGAGACAAGAACACAGAAGAGAAAAGAACAAAGTTCCACAGTTCACAAAGCTTAAGTCACATCTCCGCACACAATCCCTGGACACCGATTGGTTACAACCATCGCTAAGCATTATGGGGATTGCAGGCTGTTGGCTTTCCACTCCCACACAGGTCTCTCCTGGGCCTAGGCCAATTGCCGAATGTAGCATCTGTTGTATTTTTCTGGTGGGTCTGAATACTGTTTGTAGGTTGTGTTTTTTCATAAGTTTTCCCATCTGATCAGTGATTCCTTTGATATATGACAAAAACACTTTTCCTGTGGGATGCTGTTTTTCCTCAGTTGTTTGTTTTACCTTTGGTTTAATTGCTCTTCTGATTTCATTCTTGGAGTAGCCATTTGCTTGAAGTGCGTGATTTAGATGATTTAGTTCGTCATTGAGAAAGTGCGGTTCACATATCCGTATTGCACAGTCTACCAATGTTTTGATTATGTCTCTTTTTTGCCGAGGGTGGTGATTGGAGTTTTTGTGTAAATAACGGTCTGTGTGAGTTGGTTTTCTGTAGACCTTGTGACCTAATTGAAGGTTAGTTTTGCGGATGACCATGATATCTAGAAATGGGAGTTTACCCTCGACTTCTTTTTCCATTGTGAATTGTATGTTGGGGTGGATGTTGTTAAGGTGGTCTAAAAACTCCATCAATTCTACTTCTCCATGGCTCCAAATGATAAAGGTATCATCTACATACCAGAACCAGACTGTCGGTTTGTGGGGTGCAGATTCTAAAGCTGCTTTTTCAAAATGTTTATATAGAAGTTTGCTATAACTGGGCTGAGAGGGCTTCCGATGGCAACGAAAGCTAGCTGGGTGACCTTGGGCCAGTCACATTATTCTCAGCCTAGCCCTGACCTGGATAGCCCAGGATAGCCTGATCTCATCAGATCTCCAAAGCAAAGCAGGGCCAATGTGAAGGCAGGCCATGGCAAACCACCTCTGAATGTCTCTTGCCTTGAAAATCCTACAGGTTTACCATAAATCAGCTGTGATATGATGGCCAAAAAAAAAAAATTCCATCACACTACTCATGTTCTGAGCAGGCACTTGGGAGGGCTTCTGTTCTCCATTTTAAAGCCCAAGAGCTGACCATCTCAAACATATAAGGCATTGTTGAGACCGAGGAGTCTCCCTTTGTACTAACTTTTACTAACTAACACTAGCCCAAGCATCACAAAATAGTGATCGCAAACTTCATTAGGCTGAATGTTAAGAAACACACTACCCCCCGAAGAAGGTGCCCCTGTCCTCCATTGTTTCCAAAGGACTAAAGTCAAACCAGAGAATCCCTGCAGTAGAAACTGAAGGTTGGGGGGTATTTTGGCAAGCTCAGCAGAACACAGTGCTATTGTGGCAATGCCAGCGGAAGTAATAGAATCATAGAATCATAGAGTTGGGAGGGACCTCCAGGGTGATCTAGTGCAACCCCCTGCACAATGCAGGAAATTCAGAAATAATTCCCCCTCCACACCTCCAGTGATCACTATCCCATGCCCAGAAGATGACAAAAAACCTCCAGTATCTCCAGCCAAACTGGCCTGGAGAAAAATTGCTTCCTGACCCCAAAGTGACAATCAGCATTTTCCTGGGCCACAAGAACTAAGCACTGATGCCACCCTTCCTGCCCTCCCTCTCATGATCGGCCTACGTTCACACAATCAGGAATGCAAGGACTAATAACAGTCATTCACTTAACACCAGAGATAAGATGCTGCTTCTCTGCCAGACCGTTTTTAAAGGTAAACATTCCTTCTGCTCCCAAACAAACAAAAGGTAAACAACTCCTTCTGCTCCCAAACAAAATATCAACAGGAGGCTCTTGCCAAAGTGCTTCATTAGAGAGATTGATGCTGTGCCAGAATTAGGACTTCAGCGCTGGAGATTGAGTTTGTAGGCGTGGCTTCAATATAAATCCAGTCCTGAGAAAGGATTCTAAAAAAGGTTGTATAGTCGGTATTTTGGACTATAAACATATCAACCAGCAAGAGCCTCATGTTGATATTTTGTTTGGAAGCAGGAGTCAGATGGCCGAACTGAGAGTGTTTAACTAAGTTCACACAATCAGCATTGCTGTCAGATGGCCTCTGTTTGAAAACCTCCAAAGAAGGAGAGCCCACCACCTCCCAAGGGAGCCTGTTCCACTGGGGCACCGCTCTGT